ATATTACATCTTCCTCATCCTTGTGTCATCACTTTCACTCTGCTCTCATCTCTCTCACCCTGCTGTCATCTCTCTCGCCTTGTTAAACTATTGAATAATCCTGTCATCTTCCTCATCCTCCTCTTATCTCTCTGACTCAGGTTTTTCAATCTTCACTATCGTGTGTGTGCATTCCCTCTCAAATTACTGTTATCGGCATCACTGATTTCTGGCTGTCATGAGTTTACTTCCACTATTAAAATTTTTACTAGCTGCCATAAAAGTTTGCAACCACTATCAACCTCAGAGTTATTTCTGAGTTACCAGACCCTACCACGTGGAGGCCAGTGGTTCATCTTTAGGGTCCCCCCTCACTCTCTACCATCTTGAAGTTTCCTTCAAGTCCATGTGTCCAGGAGTCCACCTGTGTCCCCTCAGGTATTCTCCCTTTCCCACTTTTCCAAGGTATGCCCCTCTTTCTCTTGCCTTCTCTCTGGTTACCTTCTTCTGGATCATGTTCCTAGGTCTCCATCCTGGTTTGGAAGGGTTGACATCCCAGATGTCAACCCTTAAACACTCCCCACTTCCAGTTGCTTTTTTTTTTTTTTTTTTTTGGTGCTTCCCCTCATTCCGTATTTCTAGAAGTTCATCTGTGTCCCCTCAGATGAACTCCCTTTCTCACTTCCCAGGTTTCACATTTTTTATTTTACTATTATTTTGGTGCCTTCCCCAGGCCAGTGGTTACCCACTTCTCCAAAGTCAGCAGTTTTTGGCCCTTCCCCAGTGACCTTGTTGGTCTTATCTAGCTGGTCTACTGTTGAGACTGTCCAGGTGAGTGGAATTACAGGAGAGGACACACAGAAAACTGCATCCTGTAATTATATAATTACACCCACCAAGACAGCTGCGACAGTAGGCCAGCTAGACAAGATCAAGCTCCCACCCAACACGGCCACCAAGTGGAGGTTACTCAGTGAAAATCTCAGACTTCTATTTATGATTTAGACTGACAAGTATATAATTATATTCACCTTAATAGTGTTGTCCTGTAGCAATATAAGTAATGACCTGATTATACTGTAGTTCTGGACAGATCATAACCTGATTAAATTTTAACTCCAATATAAATGTTAAGAATTTTTCCAGCTATGACAAAATGACCTTTATTCATCTACAAAACCAGTTACAGGCATTTTTCACTGTATTTTAGGATTTTTTCCTTCTTCATATATACAGTTCCTGCAAAAATAATCAGTACCTCCCCCATATTATTATGAAAATTGTTAAAAAATAATAACATAAACCTTATTAAACAAGAACTGTAAAACTTGGTGCTTACATTAATATGTTGTTGTGTGCCCCTTATCCTTGATGACCATTTCAAATTGTTTGGGCATGCTTTCACTCAGATTCCTGAAGTAATCATTGAATAACTGGTTGACTCAAATGTCCTTGATCAACTGCTGCAGGCATAACATGGATGAAATGTGGCAGGATTCCATCTTCATCATATTCCAGGCATTCTCAATAGGATTCAGGTCTGGACTATTCCCTGGCCACTGTAAAACTTCAATATTTTTTCTCAGCAAACCACAGGGTTACTTTCTTTGGCCTTGTGGCTGGGGACAGTATCATGACATGAATTTCAAAAATATTCAGCAGGTGGTCCTTGAGAACGGTGATGTAGCAGGTGGCATTCATTGTAACATTTTAGAGAAGCAGGTACAAACCCCCATGACCAAGTAAATGATAAAAGCAATCCCAAACCATGACAAATTGTGGGTACTTTATGGTGTTCACTGCGTATGCAGGGTCGTACCTGCTGATGAAGGAGAGGCACCTCACCCTGCATTGACCTCAAATGAACTGAAATGTGGATTCATTTGACACGAGTTTTTTTTTGGTCAACACTCCAGTTTACCTGGAGTTTACCTGGAGAGAGTTCCGGGGGTCAACGCCCCTGCGGCCCGGTCTGTGACCAGGCCTCCTGGTCACAGTGCACATAATTCTTGACAAACTGCAAACATTCCTTCTTCATATAAGGCATGAGTTGGGTTTTCCTGGCAGCAAGGATTCAGGATGCATTTCTTTGAGCTATGAAGCAGTAATATGTAGACTTCTATGTAGTTCTCTGTTTAGAATGTTATCTGTGTTTAGATATCCTCCTTGGTCATCCAGTATGAGGTTTTGTAGCAGAAATGACATCATGGGCGGCAGAAAGTAACGCCATTATGCTGGACTTTGCTCATCCAGTACAGCGACAAATTTCCTTTATGGTGACTCTTTTCTTATCTCCAAGCCACTATACTGCATGGGCTTGTTCCTCACTAATCATCTTTGAACTACTCATATTTATCTACTTGGCACAAAAATTACATGGCACTAAATACAGCTCCAAATCCTGGGCTCTTGGAGTAGATGTATGCAGGCACACTGAGAGGTGATACATACCCAAGTCTCTTGTGTAACTCAGAGAGTTAACAGATACCTCCGGAAAACATTCAGATGATGTATGCAATATGAATTTGGACAGTTTTGTACTGTTTATAATGGAGGCAGGTTCAGCAAATCACAAGTCCTAAAAAAGTAACCCAGTGGTTTGTTGAGACAAAATATTGAGGTTTTACAGTGGCCAGGGAATAGTACAGACCTGAACTGTGTTGAGAATGCCTGGAATATCATGAAAAAGAAGATGGAATCCTGCCACATTTCATCCATGTCTTGCCTGCAGCAGCAGATCAAGGACATTTGGGTCAACCATTTTTTTTTTTATTTATTAACACATTGACTGTTTCCCACCAAGGCAGGTTGACCCGAAAAAGAAAAACTTTCATCATCATTCACTCCATCACTGTCTTGCCAGAGGCGTGTTGACACTACAGTTATAAAACTACAACATTAACATCCCTCCTCCAGAGTGTAGGCACTGTACTTTCCATATCCAAGACTGAAGTCTGGTCTGCCAGTTTCCTTGAATCCCTTCATAAATGTTACCTTGCTCACATTCCAACAGCATGTCAAGTCCTTAAAACCATTTGTCTCCATTTGCTCACGCATGTTTGCTGAAAGTCCAAGCCCCTCACACACAAAACCTCCTTTATCCCTTCCCTCCAACCTTTCCTAGGCCGACCCCTACCCAACCCTCCCTTCACTACAGATTTATACATTCTCGAAGTCATTCTATTTAGTTACATCCTCTCTACATGTCCAAACCACCTCAATAACCCTTCCTCAGCCCTCTGGATAATAATTTTGGTAATCCCACACCTCCTCCTAATCTCCAAACTACGGATTCTCTACATTATATTCACATCACACATTGCCCTCAGACATGACATCTCCACTGCCTCCAGCCTTCTCCTTGTTGCAACATCCACCACACATGCTTCACACCCATATAAGAATGTTGGCATAACTATACTCTCATATATTCCCCTCTCTTCTTCCACAGATCAAGTTCTTTGTCTCCACAGGCTTCTCAGTGCACCACTCACCTTTCTTCCCTCATCAATTCTATGATTCACCTCATCTTTCACAGACCCATCTGCTAACATGTCCACTCCTAATTATCTGAATACATTAACCTCCTCGTATGGTGTATGGTGTAGGAGGTAGGTTACTGAAAGCAGTGAAGAGTTTTTACGAGGATAGTGAGGCTCAAGTTAGTGTATGTAGGAAAGAGGGAGATTATTTCCCAGTAAAAGTAGGCCTTAGACAAGGATGTGTGATGTCACCGTGGTTGTTTATTTATAGATGGGGTTGTAAGAGAAGTAAATGCGAGGGTCTTGGCAAGAGGCGTGGGGTTAAATAGATAAAGAATCACACATAAAGTGGGAGTTGACACTGTGCTCTTGGGAGATTCTGAAGGGACGTTGCAGAGGTTGGTGGATGAATTTGGTAGGGTATGCAAAAGAAGAAAATTAAAAGTGAATACAGGAAACAGAAGGTTATGAGGATAACAATAAGATTAGGTGATGAAAGATTGGATGTCAGATTGGAGGGAGAGAGTATGGAGGAGGTGAATGTATTCAGATATTTGGGAGTGGACGTGTCAGTGGATGGGTCTATGAAAGATGAGGTGAATCAAAGAATTGATGAGGCGAAAAGGGTTAGCAGCGCATCTAGGAGTCTGTGGAGACAAAGAACTTTGTCCTTGGAGGCAAAGAGGGGAATGTATGAGAGTATAGTTTTACCAATGCTCTTATATGGGTGTGAAGCATGGGTGATGAATGTTGCAGCGAGGAGAAGGCTGGAGGCAGTGGAGATGTCATGTCTGAGGGCAATGTGTGGTGTGAATATAATGCAGAGAATTCGTAGTTTGGAAGTTAGGAGGAGGTGCGGGATTACCAAAACTGTTGTCCAGAGGGCTGAGGAAGGGTTGTTGAGGTGGTTCGGACATGTAGAGAGAATGGAGCGAAACAGAATGACTTCAAGAGTGTATCAGTCTGTAGTGGAAGGAAGGCGGGGTAGGGGTCGGCCAAGGAAAGGTTGGAGGGAGAGGGTAAAGGAGGTTTTGTGTGCGAGGGGCTTGGACTTCCAGCAAGCATGCATGAGCGTGTTTGATAGGAGTGAATGGAGACAAATGGTTTTTAATACTTGACATGCTGTTGGAGTGTGAGCAAAGTAACATTTATGAAGGGATTCAGGGAAACCGGCAGGCCGGACTTGAGTCCTGGAGATGGGAAGTACAGTGCCTGCACTCTGAAGGAGGGGTGTTAATGTTGCAGTTTAAAAACTGTGGTGTAAAGCACCCTTCTGGCAAGACAGTGATGGAGTGAATGCTGGTGAAAGTTTTTCTTTTTCGAGCCACCCTGCCTTGGTGGGAATCGGCCAGTGTGTTAATAAAAAAAATATTAACCTCCTCCATACTCTCTCCCTCCAACCTGATATCCAATCTTTCATTACCTAATTTGTTTTATCCTCATCACCTTTCTCTTTCCTATATTCACTTTCAATTTTCTTCTTTTACATACCCTACCCAACTCATCCACCAACCTCTGCAACTTCTCTTCAGTCTCCCAAAAGCACAGTGTCATCAGCAAAAAGCAACTGTGACAACTCCCACTTTGTGTTAGATTCTTTATCTTTAAACCCCACACCTCTTGCCAACACCTGATCATTCACTTCTCTTACAACTCCATCTACAAATATATTGAATAACCATGGTGACATCACACATCCCTGTCTAAGCCCTACTTTTACTGGGAAATAATCTCCCTCTCTCCTAGATACCTGAACCTCACTATCCTCATAAAAACTCTTCACTGCTTTCAATAACCTACCTCCTATTCCTTACATTTGCAACATCTGCCACAGTGCCCCCCCATCCACCCTATCATATGCCTTTTCCAAATCCATAAATGCCACAAAAACCTCTTTACCCTTGTCTAAATACTGTTCACCTGTATGTTTCACTGTAAACACCTGGTCTACACACCCCTTACCCTTCCTAAAGCCTTTTGTTCAAATGCTATCCTGCTCTCCATCTTAATTCTTTCAATAATAACTCTACCAAACACTTTACCAGGTATAATTAACAGACTTTTTTTTTTTTTCAACAAGTCGGCCGTCTCCCACCGAGAGAAAGAAAATCCCAAAAAAGAAAATACTTTCATCATCATTCAACACTTTCACCTCACTCACACATAATCACTGTTTTTGCAGAGGTGCCCAGAATACAACAGCTTAGAAGTATATACGTATAAAAATACACAATATATCTCTCCAAACTGCCAATATCCCAAACCCCTCCTTTAGAGTGCAGGCATTGTACTTCCCATTTCCAGGACTCCAGTCCGGTTATATAAAATAACCGGTTTCCCTGAATCCCTTCACTAAATATTACCCTGCTCACACTCCAACAGATCGTCGGGTCCCAAATACCATTTGTGTCCATTCACTCCTATCTAACAAGCTCACGTACGCTTGCTGGAAGACTTATTCCCCTATAATTTTTACACTCTCTTTTGTCCCCTTTGCCTTCATACAAAAGAACTATGCATGTACTCTTCCAACGATTAGGTACCTTACCCTCTTCCATACATTTATTAAATAAAAATACTAACCACTCCAAAACTATATCCCCACCTGCTTTTAACATTTCTATCTCCATCCCATTAAAATCAGCTGGTTTACCCCCTTTCATTGTACCCACTGCCTCATGCACTTCCCCCACACTCATAACTGGTTCTTCCTCACTCCTACAAGATGTTATTCCTCCTTGCCCAATACACAAAATCACAGCTTCCCTATCTTCATCAACATTTATTCCTTTGAGGGTCCGTGCCACAGATCTACGGCTTTATGTTGAGGGTCCAAACCGCAGATCTACGTCATGAGCTCAGCTCACTCTTAATAAGCTGTGAGCGGTAAATTTGGGCCTAGATATGAGAGAATACATCTATGTGGTATGTGTGCACCACATGAAACAAATCCTGCAGCACACAGTGCATAATGAATGGAAAAAAAACTGAGACTGTAATTTTCGATTAAAACAGCAACTTTGCAGTGTTTTTTCATATGTTTTATATAGTTGTATTTGCAATTTCTTGGTCTCATTTGATAGAATGGAAGATATATTACAGAAATAGAGATGATTTTGATTGGTTTTAGTACTGAAAATGACTTCAAACTGAGCTCTAAGTAGCAGAAATGTTAAATTTTTGCCAATGTTCAAGAGTAAACAAATGACCTCACACGTCTAATATATGCTAGCTGGTGGGTCTAATATACGTTCACAAATGAGCTGATATTATTTATACAATTATTACAATATTGCATGAGTGTAAATCTTCCATTTTTTGGTTTGAATAAAAATTCATTATGTGAATTAAAAATGAAAATGGAATTCATTTGTAAAGCCTGAAAAACATAACTAATGAACAGAGGCAATGTTAGTGTAGTACCAGGAATGCCTGCATTGTTTATTCTGGGCCCTATTTTGAAATTGGAATATTTTGAACTTTGCACTAAGCTGGTGATTTCTTGTGCTCAATCGATAGAACAGAAGTAATACTAGTGAAATAGCTAAGAATTTGGTAGACTGGAATAAAGTAATTGGCCTAAAATGGGAGTCAAAGTCGGCAAAATCGCCGGTGTAAATATCACTGACACGTCAAAATTCGCAAGAGCATAATTTCATCAATTTTCCATCAAATTTCATACTTTTTGTTTTATTACCTTCAGAAAAAGATTCTCTACCATTTCATAAGAAAAAATAACAAAATAATTTTTTGAAAATTCTTGGACACGGGTGTGCACTTTGAAATTTGGCCTTTGGACCCTAAAGGGGTTAACTGTTCCTCAAATTATTCCCTCCATCTTTCCAATACCTCTAACTCTCCATTTAGTAACTTCAGGAATCTGAGTGAAAGCATGCCCAAACAGCTTCAAATGGTCATCAAGAATAAGGGGGAAATGACAAAATACTTATGTAAATGTCAAGTATTACAGTTTTTGTTCTATAATGTTTAAATTGTTGTATTTTAAACATCTTCATAATGATAAAGGGGGTGGTCCCCTAGGTAGTAGGTTGGTAGACAGCAACCGCCCAGGGAGGTACTACCGTCCTGCCAAGTGAGTGTAAAACGAAAGCCTGTAATTGTTTTACATGATGGTAGGATTGCTGGTGTCTTTTTTCTGTCTCATAAACATGCAAGATTTCAGGTACATCTTGCTACTACTTCTTACACTTAGGTCACACTACACATACATGTACAAGCATATATATACACACCCCTCTGGGTTTTCTTCTATTTTCTTTCTAGTTCTTGTTCTTGTTTATTTCCTCTTATCTCCATGGGGAAGTGAAACAGAATTCTTACTCCGTAAGCCATGCATGTTGTAATAGGCGACTAAAATGCCAGTAGCAAGGGGCTAGGAACCCCTTCTCCTGTATAGATTACTAAATTTAAAAAGAGAAACTTTTGTTTTTGTTTTTGGGCCACCCTGCCTCGGTGGGATACGGCCGGTTTGTTGGAAAAAAAAGGGGGGGGGGTCTAGATTATTTTTGCAGGCACTGTAATATATACTTCATCCATTTTCTTATCTCTTAACTTTTTGTTTCTTTTTTGCACAAGTGACAACTTCACTCAACTTACTTTCTAAATTCTTACTATTCCCAGACACAATTTCTAAGTTTTTAAAGCTTTTTTGTTGCTTTCTTTTTTTATCTATCTTATTCACTGAAGTTAATCTATTGCAAATTTTACTGATTCTTACAAATTTAGCTACAAAGAATCCATGACATTTATCTACATCAGTTCTGGTCCTCAAACACCTCCTCCCAAACACAAAACTCTCATTTCCAAAGTGTTTCCAGCCAGAGAGTTTTTCACTAAGATCTTCTAATTCAAACTGATCTTGGAATTCCTTTAGGGCATTTTGAACAACCTCTTCATTCTCCTGTACATAAACTGAACAGGTGGAGTAAATGACCTCCTGCACTGATGGAAATGACAGAGCATGTCGCAAGAGGTGAGCCTGAAAACACGCAAGGCTTCTGATGCGCTCCTCAGGTACTTCATCGTTGTGCAGGTTCACACCTGAAAATATTTACGTGGATTTAAAAACATGACATACAGTCAATTCTCCTATAAAGCTCCTCTACACACTGCAGTTTTTCATAAAGGTGATTGAAAAAGTGCATCAGAAATTGAATATCAGTTACAGGCAGGCCCCACTTTACAGCACTTCACTTTATGACTTTTCGCTAATGCAGTGGTTTTAATTATACGCATTCTTCACTTATTCAGACTTCCTACAATATATATTCACCATTCACTATATGGTAAGGAAGAAAATATTTTAAGGTAAGTAATGAAGTGTAGAGGAGAGAGAGAGATTCTGGGAAATGTTGAGTGAATGCATGGGGAGTTTTGAATCAAGTGTGAGAGTAATGGTGGTTGGGGATTTCAATGCTAATGTTATGGAGGGAGTAGTAGGTAAATTTGGGGTGCCAGGGGTAAATGTAAATGGGGAGCCTTTAATTGAGCTATGTGCAGAAAGAAATTTGGTTATAAGTAATACATATTTAGAAAAAGAGATAAATAAATAATAATATACAAGGTATGATGTAAGCCACGTAATGAAAGTAGTTTGTTAGATTATGTTTGGTGGAAAAGGTTGATGGGTAGGCTCACAGGATGTACATGTTTATAGATGGCAACTGATATATCGGATCATTAATTTAGATGTAGGCTACAGTTTAGAGTAAGGGTAGTGGGAAAAGAGGAAGGTGGAACAAACAAGTAAGAGGGAGGTGAAATGTATAAACACCAAGGAGGAGGAAGTTCGGGTGAGATATAGAGACTATTGGCAGCAAAGGTGGGCTAGTGGCAAAGATGAGGAGTGGGGGTTGAAGAGGGTTGGAATAGTTTTAAAATGCAGTATTAGGAATGTGGGGCACGAAGTTTGTGGTTATAGCGGGTGGGCGGCAGGAGGAAAGAGGACTGACTGGTGGAATGATGAAGTAAAGGGAGTGATAAAAGAGAAAAGGTAGCTTATGAGAGGTTTTTACAAAGCAGAAGTGTCAGTAGAGAGGTGTATTGGAGAGTAAAAGGAAGGTGAATGAGAGTGGTGAGAGAGTGCAAAAGGAGAGCAGATGATAGAGTGGGAGAGGCGCTGTCAAGAATTTTAATGAAATAGAAATAAAATTTTGGAGTGAGTTAAACAAGTAAGAAAGCCTAGGGAAAGTATGGGATTTGTCAGTTAAAAACAGAGTAGGGGGAATTAGTAGATGGGGAAAGGGAGGTATTAGGTAGATGGCAAGAATTATTTTGAGGAACTTTTAAATATTGAGGAAGAAAAGGAGGCAGAATTTCATGCACTGGCCAGGGAGGTATACCATCTTTAGGATTGAAGAAGAAGCAGAATGTAAGTGTGGTGGAGGTACGTGAGCATTACGTAGAATGGAAAAGGGGGGTAAAGCAGCTGGAACTGATGGGATCATGACAGAAATGTTAAAAGCAGGGGGGGGGAGGGGATATAAGTGTTGGAGTGGTTGGGTACTTTTGTTTAATAATGTATGAAGAGGGGGAAAGGTTACTAGGGATGGGCAGAGAGCATGTATAGTCCCTTTATATAAAGGGAAAGGGGACAATAGAGATTGCAAAAAATTATAGGGGAATAGTTTATACTGAGTATACCAGGAAAGTATACGGTAGGGTTATAATTGAAAGAATTAGAGGTAAGACAGAAATAGGATTGCGATGAGCAGGGAGGCTTCAGAGTGGGTAGGGGATGTGTTGATCAAGTGTTTAACATTGAAGCATATATGTGAACAGCATTTAGATAAGGTAGGGAAGTTTTTATTGCATTTTGGATTTAGAAAAGCGCATATGATAGAGTGGATAGAGGAGCAATGTGCAGATGTTGCAAGTATTTGGAAAGGTGGTAAGTTACTAAATGCTGTAAGAGTTTTTTTTGAGGATAGTGAGGCTCAGTTGTAGGTGTGTAGAAGAGAGGGAGAATATTCCCGGTAAAAAGTAGGTCTTGACAGGGATGTGTAATGTCACCCATGGTTGTTTAATATATTTATAGGAGGGGTTGTTTTTTAAAAGAAGAAATGCTAGGGGCGTTCGTGGAGGGGGTGGGGGCGCGTTAATATTTGGGGAATAAAATTCAAATGGGAATTGACACAGTTACTTTTTGCGATGATACTGTGCTTATGGGAGATTCTAAAGAAAAAATTGCAAAGATTAGTGATGAGTTTGGAGAATGTGTGTAAAGGTAAAAGTTGAAGTGAACATAGCGAAAAGAGTAAGGTGATGAGGGTATCAAATGTTTAGATAAAGAAAAATTGGATATCAAATTGGGGAGGAGGAGTATGGAAGAAAGTGTTGAATGTTTTTCTTTTTTTTTTAGATACTTGGGAGTTGTTCACGTGTCGGCGGGTGGGTTTTTGAAGGATGAGGTTAAACATAGAATGATGAGGGAAAAAGGTGAGTGGTGCATTGGGTATATGTGGAGTTTAAAAAAAGTTATCTATGGAGGCAAGAAGGGAATGTATGAAAATTAGTAGTCAACCCCCTTTAAGGGGTGTGAAGCTTGGGTGGTAAGCAGAGCGAGGGGACGGTTGGGGCAGTGGGGTTTTCCCGTTTAAGGGGGAATGTGTGGTGTAAATATTTTGCTAAAAAACGGGTGTGGAAATTAGGAAAAAAAAAAAAATGTGGAGTTAATAAAAGTATTAGTCAGGGGCAGAAGAGGGGGTTTTTGAGGTGGGGTTTGGTATTTAGGAGAAGGATCAAAAATAGAATGACATGGAAAGTATAAAAACTATAGGGGAAAGGGAAGGGGGGGAGGGGTCGTCCCAAAAGGGGTTTGGGGAGAGGGGTAAAGGAGGTTTTGTGGGCGAGGGGTTGGATTCCAGAAGCGTGCGTGAGCGTGTTAGATAGGAGTGAATGGGCGAATGGGACTTGGACCCGATGTCTGTTGGGAGTGTGGCAGGGGAATATTTTTTGAAGGGGGCAGGGGGAAAACCCGTTTTTTTTTATGGCTTGAGTCCTGGAAATGGGAAGTACAATGCCTGCACTTTAAAGGAGGGGTTTGGGATATTGGCAGTTTGGAGGGATATGTTGTGTATCTTTATATGTATATGCTTCTAAACTGTTGTATTCAGCACCTCTGCAAAAACAGTGATAATGTGTGAGTGTGGCAAAAGTGTTGAATGATGATGAAAGTATTTTCTTTTGGGGGATTTTCTTTCTTTTTTGGGTCACCCTGCCTCGGTGGGAGACAGCCGACTTGTTGAAAAAAAAAAAAATTACAAAGGACTGCTAGTGCAGAGGAACTTTACAAAAAAATCTCAAAGTAAAAATATTTGCTATAACCATCCTAAAATTAAAGATTTTAAACACTAAAGCTCTTGCTAGGAATGTATCCACCTTACACCCTTACTTAGGTTTACAAAATAATGGTCTCAAATACAGTATTGCAATTCCTCCACCAAGCTCATAACCAACAATATTAAACTTACAGTAATCCCCGTCTTTAGAAAATGCTATTGTAAAATAAAGGCACAGCAGTCCAGTCAATAATGTTTAGTGGTAATAAAACTGTGGATTAAAGTAAAGGTTGGATGCGAGAAGTGGGTCATAATAAGCGTGTATGCACCTGGAGAAGAGAGGAATGCAGAGAAGAGAGAGAGATTTTGGGAGATGTTAAGTGAATGTATAGTAGCCTTTGAACCAAGTGAGAGAGTAATTGTGGTAGGGAACCTGAATGCTAAAGTAGGAGAAACTTTAGAGAGGGTTGTGGTAGGTAAGTTTGGGGTGCAGGTTTGTAATGTTAATGGGAGCCCTTTGATTGAATTTTTTGTATAGAAAGGGGTTAGTTATAGGTAATACATATTTTAAGAAAAAGAGGATAAATAAGTATACAAGATATGATGTGGGGCCCAAAATGACAGTGTTTGTTGGATTATGTATTGGTAGATAAAAGACTGTTGAGTAGACTTCAGGATGTACATGTTTATAGAGGGGCCACAGATATATCAGATCACTTTCTAGTTGTAGCTACACTGAGAGTAAAAGGTAGATGGGGATACAAAGGAGAATAGAAGTTTCAGGAAGAGAGAGGTGAAGGTTATAAAACTATAAGACGGGGGCAGTTAGGGTAGATATAAACAGCTATTGGAGGATAGATGGGCTAATGAGAGCATAGGCAATGGGGTCGAAGAGGTATGGGGTAGGTTTAAAAATGTAGTGTTAGAGTGTTCAGCAAAATTTTTGTGGTTACAGGAAAGTGGGTGCGGGAGGGAAGAGGAGCGATTGGTGGAATGATGATGTAAAAAGAGTAGTAAGGGAGAAAAAGTTAGCATATGAGAAGTTTTTACAAGTAGAAGTGATGCAAGGAAGGAAGAGTATATGGAGAAAAAAAGAGAGGTTAAGAGAGTGGTGAAGCAAGTAAAAAAAAGAGCAAATGAGAGAGTGGGTGAGATGTTATCAACAAATTTTGTTGAAAATAAGAAAAGTTTTGGAGTGAGATTAACAAAAATTAAGAAAGCCCAGAGAACAAATGGATTTGTCAGTTAAAAACAGGAGAGGAGAGTTATTAAATGGAGAGTTAGAGGTATTGGGAAGATGGAGGGAATATTTTGAGGAATTATTAAATGTTGATGAAGATAGGGAAGCTGTGATTTCGTGTATAAGGGGAAGGAGGGAAAAAACATCTTGTAGGAGTGAGGAAAAGCCAGTTTTGAGTGTGGGGAAGTTCGTGAGGGAGTAGGTAAATGAAAGGGGGTAAGGCAGCTGGGATTGATGGGGTAAAGACAGAAATGTTAAAAGCAGGTGGGGATATAGTTTTGGAGTGGTTGGTGCAATTATTTAATAATGTATGGAAGAGGGTAAGGTACCCAGGATTGGCAGAGAGCATGCATGTTCCTTTGTATAAAGGCAAAGGGGATAAAGAGAGTGCAAAAATTATAGGGGAATAAGTCTGTTGAGTATACCTGGTAGTGTATGGTAGAGTTATTATTGAAAGAATTAAGAGTAGACGGGGAATAGGATAGCAGATGAAAAAAGGAGGCTTTAGGGGAAAAGGGAGGGGGTTTTGTGGACCAGGTGTTTACAGTGAAAATATAAGTGAACCAGTATTAGATAAGGCTAAAGAGGTCTTTGTGGCATTTAGGATTTGGAAAAGGCGTATGACAGGGTGGATAGGGGGGCAATGTGGCAGATGTTGCAGGTGTATGGTGTAGGAGGTAGGTTACTGAAAACAGTGACAGTTTACGAGGATAGTGAGCTCAAGTTAGAGTTTGTAGGAAAGAGGGAAAATTTTTCCAGTTAAAAGTAGGCCTTAGACAAGGATGTGTGATGTCACCGTGGTTGTTTATTATTTATAGATGGGGTTGTAAGAGAAGTAAATGCGAGGGTCTTGGCAAGAGGCGTGGAGTTAAAAGATTTAAAGAATCACACACAAAGTGGGAGTTGTCACAGCTGCTCTTTGCTGATGACACTGTGCTCTTGGAAGATTCTGAAGAGAAGTTGCAGAGATTGGTGGATGAGTTTGGTAGGGTGTGCAAAGAAGAAAATTAAAGGTGAATACAGGAAAGAGTAAGGTTATGAGGATAACAAAAAGATTAGGTGATGAAAGATTGGATATCAGATTGGAGGGAAGAGTATGGAGGAGGTGATTGTATTCAGATATTTGGGAGTGGACGTGTCAGCGGATGGGTCTATGAAAGATGAGGTGAATCATAGAATTGATGAGGGGAAAGGGTGAGTGGTGCACTTAGGAGTCTGTGGAGACAAAGAACTTTGTCCTTGGAGGCAAAGAGGGGAATGTGTGAGAGTATAGTTTTACCAACGCTCTTATATGGGTGTGAAGCATGGGTGATGAATGTTGCAGCGAGGAGAAGGCTGGAGGCAGTGGAGGATGTCATGTCTGAGGGCAATGTGTGCTTTGAATATAATGCAGAGAATTCGTAGTTTGGAAGTTAGGAGGAGATGCGGGATTACCAAAACTGTTGTCCAGAGGGCTGAGGAAGGGTTGTTGAGGTGTTCAGAACATGTAGAGAGAATGGAGCGAAACAGAATGACTTCAAGAGTGTATCAGTCTGTAGTGGAAGGAATGCAGGGTAGGGGTCGGCCTAGGAAAGGTTGGAAGGGGGGGGTAAAGGAGGTTTTGTGTGCCGAGGGGCTTGGACTTCCAGAAGGCATGCGTTGGAGGGACCAGTGTTTGATAGGAGTGAATGGAGACAAATGGTTTTAAATATTGACATGCTGTTGGAGTGTGAGCAAAAAGTAACATTTATGAAGGGGGGTTCAGGGAAACGGCAGGCCGGATCTCGAGTCCTGGAGATGGGAAGTACAGTGCCTGCACTCTGAAGGAGGGGTGTTAATGTTGCACGTTTAATAAAACTGTAGTGTAAAGCACCCTTCTGGCAAGACAGTGATGGGAGTGAATGATGTGAAAGTTTTCTTTTTGGGGCCACCCTTGCCTTGGTGGGAATCTGCCAGTGTGTTAATAATAAAAATATCGGCCATTTTCCCCCCAAGGTAGGGCCAGCCCGAAAAAGAAAAACTTATTCACCTTCATCACTCCATCACTGTCTTTGCCAGAGGAGTGCTTTACATACAATTTAAAAGTTGCAAACATTAACCACCCCTCCTTCAGATTGCAGGCTCTGTTGATTCCCATCTCCAGACTCAGCGGCCACCGCGGGGCGGGCTGCGGTTTTCTGTAGTCCCCTTCATAAATATTACCCTGCTCACACCTCCAACAGCACATCAAGTCCTAAAATACTCTGTCTCATTTGCTCCTATCTAACACGCTCGATGCTTGCTGGAAGTCCAAGGCCCTCACAACAAACCTCCTTTACCACCTCCCTCCAACCTTTCCTAGGCTGACCTCTGCTCTGCCTTCCCTCCACTACAGATTTATACACTCTTGAAGTCATTCTATTCAGTCCCATTCTCTCTACATGTCTGAACCACCTCAACAACCCCTCCTCAGCCCTCTGGATAACAGTTTTGGTAATCCTGCGCCTCCTCCTAATTTCCAATCTACGAATTCTCTGCATACATTCACACCACACATTGCCCTCAGACATGACATCCCCACTGCCTCCAGCCTTCTCCTTGTTGCAACATTCACCACCCATGCTTCACCCATATAAGACCATTGGTATAACTATACTCTCATACATTCCTTTCTTTGTTTTCATGGACAAAGTTCTTTGTCTCCACAGACTCCTCAGTGCACCACTCACCTTTCTTCCTTCTTCAATTCTATGATTCACCTCATCTTTCACAGACCCATCTGCTGACATGTCCACTACTAAATATCTGAATACATTCACCTCCTTCATACTCTCTCCCTCCAACCTAATATCCAATCTTTTGTTACCTAATTTGTTTTATCCTCATCACCTTTCTCTTTCCTATATTCACTTTCAATTTTCTTCTTTTACATACCCTACCAAACTCATCCATCAAACTCTGCAAGTTCTCATCAGAATCTCCCAAAAGTACAGGGTCATCAGCAAAGAGCAACTGTGACAACCCCCACATTGTGTTAGATTCTTTATCTTTTAACCCCTAACCTCTTGCCAACACCCGAGCATCCTTGTCTAAGGCCTACTTTTACTGGGAAATAATCTCCCTCTCTCCTACATACATATGGTTTGTATAATGCACACCACATGTGCCTTTTATATGATGGAAAATACAGTGTTTCTAACCTTGAAGTTATTTATTAGGGAATACTTTTTTAAATATAAACTAAAACATACCACTAGATGAGCATGAAGGATCAACAAATATGAATTCCACCTGTGAGTACTTGTCAAGGGGAAGTCTGGTGAAATCTTGGTTGAGGGTAGTAACACATGTCGCTCTACGCTCCACCACAAGCCTCTGCAGCGTCTGGTAACGCTCTAAGTCTTTCTCTATTGCTACAACATGCCTGAAAGTAAAAATGAAATTTTGTGTCAGATTTATAAACTTAAGAAAGTTGTTAAAAAATTATCAGAAAAAAATTGCAGCTTTTTTGTTTATTATCCTTTCAAAACCTTTAGAAATACTACACACTAATATATGCACTCTCTCCTCACTTAGCGACATACTCGTTTACCGATGACTTGGACTTATGACAGGCTATCTGACCAGTATGCATACCTAAATAATGTATATTAGAGCTGATTTCCTCTATTCTGTTTATTACAATATACATTACACTAGTATAAACATTTAAAAATAAACTAAAAATGTTATAAATGGAGCAAAGGTGACATTAAAACAATATCAAAGATGGACACAAATCCACTACCATTAGCGTATGCTCCTTGTTTAGCAATGAATTCTTTTACGATGTGGTCTTAAAAACAGACTCTGTTGTTAAGTGAGCAAAGGCTGTAACTAGGATAAAGACCAAAGAATACAGTAGGGCTCCACTTATAAGGCAGGTTAGGTTCCAGGCTACTGCTAGAAAGTGGACAACACTGGAAAGCAGAACACCACTTTTTCCCACTGATAAATGCATACAAATGCCAGATAACAAGTTTACACTAACATATATTAAGCTAACAGTAGAACTAGGTATTAAAAAACAATAAAAAGTAAAATGCATACACAGTACATCCATTACTTACCTTACAATATTTGTAGTCTTAATGTAGGGTGAGAGGTGAGTAGTATTTATTTGTAGGAAGTCAGGTGTAGGTAGCCCGCCTGGCTCCCACACCTAAATATAATATACAATATTTAAAGTGGCCCAGAACGGTATTATTACCATTGACATACCTTGTTCACTGAGTTTAACAATTTCTAACAACTAGCTTTAGATGCCATCATAAATGAAGTGAGAAGTGATGAGAAGTCATGCCGAGAAGTGTAAGCAAAGCTGAATTCGTTAAGGGGAGTGACTGGGGCAAACGCGCATTGATACACACTTTCTCCGGTTCTGTACCAGAGAAGACGTAATTCTTTTCCTCCACCTAGCTGCATCTCATATTTATGTAAAATTTTTTGTACTGTGGGTGTATTGTGTTTATATGTTCTGTAATGCATTTCTTATATAATTTTGGAGAAAATATCATAGCTGGACTAATGAAAATGTCTATATTAACATAAAATAAGACATTTAATGTGCCCAAGAGTGATTAATATTATTACGTATTAGTATTATTCCTAGGTAGAAGGTTGGTAGACAGCAACTGCCCAGGGGGGTACTACCATCCTGCCAAGTGAGTGTAAAATGAAAGCCTGTAATTGTTTTACATGATGGTAGGATTGCTGGTGTCCTTTTTTTCTGTCTCATGAACATGCAAGATTTCAGATATGTCTTGCTACTTCCACTTACACTTAGGTCACACTACACACATATATATATATTTTTTCCAACAAACTGGCCCTATCCCACCAAGGCAGGGTGGCCCAAAAACAAAAACAAAGTTTATCTTTTTAAATTTAGTAATTTATACAGGAGAAGGGGTTACTAGGTCCTTGCTCCCGGCATTTTAGTCGCCTCTTACAATACGCATGGCTCATGGAGGAAGAATTCTGTTCCACTTCCCCATGGAGATAAGAAATAAACAAGAACTAGAAAGAAAATAGAAGAAAACCCAGAGGGGTGTGTATATATATGCTTGTACATGTATGTGTAGTGTGACCTAAGTGTAAGAAGTAGTAGCAAGACGTACCTGAAATCTTGCATATTTAAGAGACAGAAAAAAGACACCAGCAATCCTACCATCATGTAAAACAATTACAAGATTCCGTTTTACACTCACTTGGCAGGATGGTAGTACCTCCCTGGGCGGTTGCTGTCTACCAACCTACTACCTACGCACAGATATGTACAAGCATATACAGTGGACCCCCGGTTTACGATATTATTTCATTCCAGAAGTATGTTCAGGTGCCATTACTGAACGAATTTGTTCCCATAAGGAATATTGTGAATTAGATTAGTCCATTTCAGACCCCCAAACATACACGTACAAACGCACTTACATAAATACACTTACATAATTGGTCGTATTGGGAGCTGATCGTAAACCGGGGGTCCACTGTATATACACACCCCTCTGGGTTTTCTGCTATTTTTTTTTTTAGTTCTTGTTCTTCTTTATTTCCTCTTATCTCCATGGGGAAGTGGAACAGAATTCTTCCTCCATAAGCCATGCGTGTTGTAAGAGGCGACTAAAATGCCGGGAGCAAGGGGCTAGTAACCCCTTCTCCTGTATAAATTACTAAATTTAAAAAGAGAAACTTTTGATTTTCTTTTTGGGCCACCCTGCCTCTGTGGGATACGGCCAGTTTGTTGAACGAAGAAGATTAGTATTATTATTATTAATTTGATGTCAAGCCTAGAGAGGACACTCTTAGTGATTTTAACATGTACCTGCATGCAAGCACAGTGTGTAAGTTTATTTAGGGAAAGAAGACCTGAAACTGAGTACAGACCCTGGGAATAGACACTGCAAACCTTGCACAAGGACCTAGGGTTAAACATACAGCCAAGCATATCCCTAGAGGTGAACATCAATAGAGTAACTTTTGCAGTAAATGCTTATTTGATAAATCTAAAATTAGCTTACAAGAATCTCAATAGAGTTCTTCAATATGCCATAACCAAATACGTATGTACCATACCTGATAAAGCATGTCAGTAACTGAAAGAAATGCTAAGGTTTGCAACAAGACTTAAGAATTAGGCCCTTCAAGGGAGGTAGGTGCCATGATGCCAGCGAGGGGTTCTTGAACCAGTACTTCCCTTCATTGGATCTAACCTAATTGCTTTCTACTCTCCCAGGTGATGTAAGACCCCTACACATTTAACCTTTTCCCTAAAAATAATAAAAACTAAATGCATTTCGGTCACTGCACAACCTGAGAAAGGTATCCCCGTATTTCATAACCCCAGTCCCCTGTGCCTCAATGCATGCGACTGGAATAGTACGGAGTGTGGCATAAGTTGATGATGTAGCTAAATATTAGTCTTGGAGATCTGAAGGAAATCAGAAGAGGCATTCACAAAACAAAGGGAAAATTTCTATTCAAATTCAAATTCAAATTTATTTTATGCAGTACACAGATAATGTAGTTTACATGTAACAAAATATTGTTAGGCACAAAAGAAAGCCACTGGTATACAATGCTCTTCAGACAAACTAATCCTAATTGTGAAAAAGCAAATGAAAATGTTGATGAGAAAGTTTCAAAATGGAGGAAAGTCTTCCCTCATTAAATTTAAAAGCAACATAAAACCTCAGATTTTTTTTATTATTTTTTTGTAGCATTCATTTCAAATTTACATTTCATTTAAAATGCTCTACAATCCTGTAAGAAAAAATACTTGATTTTGATTTGCTTAAAAATTACAATTTCATTAAAGTCATGTGCATCCATGAGTCCATGTGTGTGTCCGTGCATGTACATGTGTGCTACCACAACAGTTTCTTACCCAGTGTTATTGATTGCTGCTGCAATGTAAGAAGTCTTGTTGCCTGGGGCAGCACATGCATCAATCACGTTACTTCCTGGCTTTATGCCACTCACTAACACTGGCAAACAACTAGCCTGAAAACACATCATGTAACTGCTGAATAATTCATATGTAATAAGTGAAAATAGTGTATTAAATCTGTCTTACAAGATGGGAACAATATGATGTCTTGGCATTTTTAAACAAGCATTCTTAATTCATTGCATGGCTAATTACATCTCTAGTCACATTACAGGCCAGTAACTTACCGTATTTTCACAGATTTTCTAATTTTAATTTAATAGATAAACATTCATAAATATCACTCAATGGTGAGTACTAAGAGTTTACAAGAATTTAGCAACAGATGATATGCTGTAACACTACCTCAGATGTGCATAAAATATTAATGAGGGGCTTCCCAAGAGGATGAAAAGTTACTGCCCAAAATCAGAATACAGTGGACCCTCGGGGAATGCCTTTAATCCGTTCCAGAGAGCTAGCCTTTAGCCGAATTAATTTTCCCCCATAAGAAATAATGGAAATCCAATTAATCCGTTCCAGACACCCAAAATTATTAAACAAAATAATTGTTTTTACATGAAATATACATTTCCTTCACACAAAACAATGATACATGCACAATAAACAATACAGTGGACCCCCGCATAACGGACGCCTTGCATGGCGGACAATCCGCATAGCGGACGCTTTGATCGCTAAAATTTTGCCCCGCATAGCGCCCAAAAACCCGCTCAGCGGCCTTCGTCCGAGACGCGTCCAATGTGCGGCCTGAGCCACGCTCACATGTTCCGCGGGTGGCATTGTTTACCAGCCAGCCTCCGCGGTAACATCCAAGCATACAATCGGAACATTTGTATTATTACAGTGTTTTTGGTGATTTTTTTCTGGAAATAAGTGACCATGGGCCCCAAGAAAGCTTCTAGTGCCAACCCTACAGCAATAAGGGTGAGAATTACTATGGAGATGAAGAAAAAGATCATTGATAAGTATGAAAGTAGAGTGCGTGTCTCCGAGCTGGCCAGGTTGATAATAAACCCCAATCAACCATCGCTACTATTGGTGGTACAGCTGCTGCTGCTGCTGTATCACCGTCAGCTGCTGCTGCACTGTCAGCTGCTGCTGCTGTACCACCGTCAGCTGCTCCTGCTGCTGTAGTACCGTCTGCTGCTGCTGTAGCATCATCTGCTGCTGCTGTAGCATCGTCTGCTGCTGCTGTAGCATCGTCTGTTGCTGCTGTAGCATCGTCTGTTGCTGCTGTACCACCGTCAGCTGCTGCTGCTGCTTTTAGATCGTCTGTGCTGCTGCTGCTGTAGCATCGTCTGCGGCTGCTGTAACATCGTCAGTTGCTGCTGTAGCATTGTCTGCTGCTGCGGTAGCATCGTCTGTTGCTGCTGTAGCATCGTCTGCTGCTGCTGCTGCTGTAGCATCGTCTGCTGCTGCTGTAACATCGTCCTGCTGCTGCTGCTGCTTTTAGCACCGTTGTTGGTGTGGCTTTATTGGAATACCAAGAAACAATTAACCCCAGAGGATTTGCCACCTAGGATAGCCCAAAAAAGTCAGTGTCATCAAAGATGTCTAACTTATTTCCATTGGGGTCCTTAATCTTGTCTCCCAGGATGCAACCCACACCAGTTTGACTAACACCCAGTGAAAAGGGAAAATGCCCGGAACTAGTGCTCATATTGGTGAATTTAGAGCCCGCAAAAAGGGTTTGGTTTGAGAGATTTAAGAATCGTAGTGACATTTCAAAGTGTGATTTAAAGGCCTGTTCTGGAAGAAAATAACCCAAACAGGACCTACAGTACTCAGGAGGAAAAGGCACTCACAGGACACAGTGTCTATCAGTCATTGCTGCATCTTCAATAAGGTAAGTGTCATTTATTCTTCATTTAGTAGAGTAGTACATGCACAATATATATTGTGCATGTACTACTCTACTATTGGCATGTATCCTTCTCTTTGTGTGTAGGAAAATGTATATTTCATGTGGTAAAATTTTTTTTTTCAAACTTTTGGGTGTCTTGCACGGATTAATTTGATTTCCATTATTTCTTATGGGGAAAATTCATTCACATAGCGAACATTTCGCATAACAGCCAGCCCTCTTGCACGGATTAAGGTCGCTATGCGGGGGTCCACTGTACTGAAATGACACTTACATTTATTGTAGACTTGTTGATGAATGATGAGACAGGGGGAGGGGAGAGGATGAAGGTGTACTAGTGTTTGGAAGGGGAATTCCCTTCCATAAAGACTTCAGGTAACAAGTCTTTTTCTGGGGTTACCTCACTTCTTGGGTTTTTAATGCCACTGGGAACAACTTGAGAGTCACTGGACCCATGTCACACAAAATATTTGTCCAGAGAGCTCTGTTTCTTGTGTCCCTTTAAGAGTTCCCTAAAATGGGACACAAGAGTGTCACTGAACATGTTGCCAATATGGCTTGCAACAGCTGTGTCAGGATAATATTCATCCATAAATGCTTGCAACTTTGTCCACATTGTACACATCTCCTTAATCTTTGACGAAGGCAACTTCCTCCGTCTCTCTTCCTCCTCTTATGAAGCACATTCCTGAGCTGTGATCTGTTGCTGTTGCCCCTGAAGCTCTTGTAGCTCTGTAGTGGTTAGATCTTCATTGTCGTCCTCCACCAACGCTTCCGCATCCTCCTCACCAACCTACAACCCCATGGACTTCCCCAATGCCACAATAGATTCCACAACTGGCATAGTCTCCTGAGGGTTAGCCCCAAACCCTTCAAAATACACTCTCTTGTACACATTGTGGCCACAATTTTCTCCAAGTAGAGTTCAAAATCCTGCAAGTCACTCCCTCCCAAGCCTTACCTATGCAACTGAGGATACCGAAGTGATCTTTCCAGAACTCTCTTACGGTTAATTCAGTGTCTGAGGTCACTTCAAAGCACTTTTGAAACACTGCTTTGGTGTACAGTTTTTTAAAGTTTGAAATGACCTGCTGGCCCATGCGCTGGAGGAGAGGAGTGGTATTAGGAGGCAAAAACTTCACTTTGATAAAGCTTAACTCCCCTGCAATTTGCTCTTGAAAGTCTTGAGGATGAGCAGGAGCACTGTCCATTACCAGGAGGCATTTGAGTGACAATTTATTTTCCAGGAGGTACTTTTTCACAGTGGGGCCAAACACGTCATAGAACCAGTCCAGGAAAATGTCCCTAGTGACCCATGACTTACTGTTTGTTCTCCACATCACACACAATTTAGTCTTGACAACATTGTTTTTCTCGGACACTCTGGGAGTTTCAGAGTGATACACGAGTAAAGGCTTCATTTTGCAATCCCCACTAGCATTACTACAAAACATTAGAGTTAGCCTGTCTTTCATAGGCTTGTGTCCTAGGAGTACCTTTTCCTTCTGAGTAATGTAGGTCCTGTTTGGTATTTTCTTCCAAAAGAGCCCTGTTTCGTCACAACTGAACACTTGTTTGGGTTTTAATTTTTCAGTGTCTATGTACTCCTTAAAGTCCTGCACATATTTCTCAGCTGCTTTTTTGTCAGAACTGGCAGCCTCACCATGCCTTATCACACTGTGTATGCCACTATGATTCTTAACCCTTTCAGGGACGAGAGGCCCTCTCCTAAACTTGTCCTCAGGATCGAAAATTTTTCGAAAAAAATATAAATGACTTTTTTCTTATGAAATGATAGAAAATCTTTTCCCGATCATAATGACACCAAAAGTATGAAATTTGATGGAAATTATGCTCTCGCGCAGATAGCGGTCTTGAGGCTGCCTACGCATCGGCGATTTTGCCCACTTTGAGCCCTATTTTCGACCAATTCCAATGTACCAGTTGACAAAAATCATAACTATTTCGCTAGATCTCCATTTGTTCTATCGAACGAGTACAAGAAATCACCCACTTACCGATTCCAACTATCCAATAAAGTGGTCAGAAATTAGCAATTTTGCCAATTTCACACAAATATCAAAAGATGCCAAGTTCCAAATGGGGTCCAGAATAAATAAGGCAGACATTCCTGGCACTAAAATAACATTTTCTCTGTTCATTGGTCACGTCCCCAGGCCCCTCTTACATTTCTTTTGCTATCCACCTTGAATTTTTATTCTTACAAAAAATAGAAGATTTACTGTTTTGCAGACTACTGCATTAGTGTAGAAATGATATAAATAATATCAGCACACTTGTGAAAGAATATTAGACTCACCAGTTGACGTGTATTGGACGCGTGGCATGATTTGTTTACTCTTGAACAACTGCAATACTCGAACATTTTCGCTACTTTGCTCTCAATTTCAAAGTACTTGTCATCATGACACCAATTAAAATTATCTCTTTTTCTGTAACATATCTTCCATTCTATCAAATGAGACCAAGAAAACGAGAATACAACCATAAATACCATACGAAAATACACTGCAAAGTCACTGTTTTAAACCAAAAACACTGTCAGAGTTTTTTTCCTCATTATGCACTGTGCTGCAGGATTTTTTTTATACTGTGCACACTGACCACATAGACCCATTCTGTCATATATAGGCCAACCAGCTTTCTCTCACTAGATTTGAAGGCGCCTGAATTTACGTGTATAGTACAGCACCAACCTTGTTGTGCAACCCGTATTAGTAGGACACCGACCCTGAAAGGGTTAAATCTCTCAAACCAGCCTTTGCTGGCTTTAAATTCATCAATAGCAGCACTATTTGGAGGCAATTTCTTAATGAAATCCACATGCAACTGCCTTGCATTTTCACATATTATTGATTGAGAAACACTATCTCCTGATAATTGTTTCTCGTTTATCCACACCAACAACAGTCTCTCCACATCAAGTATTTGCAATCTCTGTTTTGTAAGCATACTTGCACCTTTTGCAACAACAGCTTCCTTGATTGCCTTTTTGTTGGCCAAGATAGTAGTGATGGTTGAATGGAGTTTGTTATATAACCTTCCGAACTCCGAGATACGCTCTCCACTCTCGTACTTTGCAATTACAGTGGACCCCCGCATAGCGACCTTAATCCGTGCAAGAGGGCTGGCTGTTATGCGAAATGTTCGCTATGTGAATGAATT